AGATACCAAATGAAGATTGCTTGTTTTCACAATATTCAACGACCATGTAACGAGAAAACAAGAAACTAAAACACTTAAATTCATGAAAAGGATAGCTTGTGAAAGCACGTGTCTAACTATCTGAAGTGTGCCCCTAATCTGTAAACACTTAATGAGTGGGATGACTTTATAGCATGAATAGTTAGTAGTTTCAGAACATCCAAGTACACTGTTCGTTTAATGTGTTTATTATATTACTTAATATGATATGATCAAAGTTTTTATAGATACAATTAGCCTAAGTGCCTTGTTTTTTTGTTTTTGTTTTCAATCCTTATTAAAACCAGAAACCATTTGATAATAAAATACGTTCTAGTTTTTATCCTTACATGAAATTATTGCAGCAAAATAAAAGGTTGTGATTTTTCAGACTTTTGTTGATATCAATTATAAACTATTTGTTTTTCCTACAGATCATACAGTTACTGGTGAGATCAACTTCAAGTTCGACCAATGAGATTACTAGAGAAACTCGAAGGAAAGACGAAATATCTATGGAACCTGCGGAACCCGTTTTTCCTAATCATCTTCATTACATTTCTATATCACAGTTACCAACTATTGGTTCTATTCCTAGAATATCAGACCACCGTATACATCAGTGAAGACGATCCTACAGATGTAGACTTTCCAGCAGTGACAGTGTGCACTAATGGAAAGTAAGCTGTTTCTACATTACTAATCTGTTTATTTACTTGAACAGAAAATATTTCATTATTGTTCAAAAACCTAATTAAAAAAAAGTATATTTTAGAGAGAAATATTTTGTTGTAAGTTGGTAATTGGTTACATTTACACTTAAATATACGTTCAACCAATTACCAACTTACACATTTACACTTAAATATACGTTCAACCAATTACCAACTTACACATTTACACTTAAATATACGTTCTTACACATTTACACTTAAATATACGTTCAACCAATTACCAACTTACACATTTACACTTAAATATACGTTCAACCAATTACCAACTTACCATTAAAACATTTACACTTAAATATACGTTCAACCAATTACCAACAGTGAAATAACATATCAGCATAATCACGTACACATGACTAAAGAGTCGTAAAACATAAAAATACGACAAGCTAAATTTGTCATTCTCAAGTTACGGAGTAAAGCTAGTCATGAATTTATGTTGTATTAATTCTTTAATTTTCTGTGTATTATTATTCTAGTGTGTTGTTACAGCTTTAAGTGTAAGTTTCATTGTGACAGACGTTTAAGGTGTAGTACATTATTGACTTCTAAGTAGTGATAATATGACATTCGATACGTTTCCAAAACTGTGTCTTTTCGGTTTTGAAATAAAACACAGTTATGTAAATATTAAATTTCTAACAAGTATTCGTAGTTGGGTCAGCTGTATATTTACGGACATAGAACGCTAAAAAACGAGGTTCGATTTCCAGTGTTTGTAAGAAGACAAAGAGTCCGTTGTATAAGCTTGCGTTTATCTGACAAACAAGATACAAGTACAAGGATACCTGCGTGCACTTTTTTAGGTATGATATACGAAGATACAATAGGTCCAAAGTATTTTTAAAATACAGTAACATTTCAATTATTATTGAAAATAATTATCTCTTCTAGTTATGACCTTTGTACTTGGTTGCTGCTTGACGTGGGTTGCTAAGCCTTTTAAAATTTTACACGTGGAGGATATGAAACGAAATCAGTTTTTAGGTTTTATATATACAGTTGAATAGCCAAAAAAATCATAAATTACTACATCAATACGACAGAATTCCACTACAATTTACCAAGGTTAGTACCTAAGCTGTATTTTAGTCTTAAAAAATATGAAATTTCGAGCAGACTAAAGACACGACCTACCTCCTTGAAATCTTGGTTCGAAAGAAACTGATGGCGTCCAAACACGTTAATGTGGATGAGAAAACCATTAGGGGGACATTCTGAGCGAGCTTTCCATTGGTTATTCATGTCATAAATAGAAGTAAGTGTATATAAGAGAGCGTTTCCAAAATTGTAGAGGTGGCCGGGGTACCACTGTGTTTGATATATTACATGAGCAATAGCTTAGCAAATAGAAAAGATAAGAGGTTCCTATTTTATATTCTAGTTTGTCAATATCCGTAATCTGAGTTTCTAATTCATGTGAAACTATAGACTTAGTATTTTGATATCACAAACATCTAATTTGAACCAGTGCTGCATTCAACATACCACGAGACACATAAAAATTGATGTTTAACTGTACTTTTAAATTGACATATTGACTAATGCATATTACAAACATTTTAATTATAACCTACAGTTTGATACCAAACGTATTGACATAAATTCATGAAATAGTAATTCAATAAAATTTTGAATGCAAGTCAATAAACGATAACATGGCCTTTCACCCGTGACCAGTCTGGAAAAGGTGAATGTATTAGATTTAATAGTAATTCAGCTTTCTTTATATTTTAGAGGTACGTTGTTGATGACATATAATTTTTTGTTGTTCCATTGTTTGTGGTTGATGATGCTGTTGCATTTAGCATCTTTGTTTTATCACCTACAAGTAGCATATCATTATGGATAACAGAATTCATATCTTAATTTAAAATTTTATGAACGAGTCTTTTATAAACTTTATGTTGATAAAGTATCAATTCTTCAGGAATGAGAAGGTTTCAACAGCTTTAACAATCCTGGTTGAAAATATTGAAAGTATTTAAGCTATGAATAGTCGTAAAATCCCTCTTTCTGTATAATTAGGTTTCGTTTCCGATTAACCGATGTTTTATTATCAGCCAACTCTCTCAATAATGACTTATATCATGCAAGTTTTTACTTTCTTATGTTGTCATGGGAATGTTAACCTATAAAACATTTAAAGCACAAATGTAAAATATAGATTCATTTTTAGCTCTAGCGATTATTTCTTTAATTTCTTTTCGTGTAGCTTTAGTTAAAGTTCAGAACAAATCCTGGTGTTGTTTACTTGTAGGTATCATGGTGAATGAATAACAAAAGGAATGTATGTATAAGATCATTTTACAACCCATTTAGATATATCATCAATGCTTTAAACACTACAATGATACGTTGTTTCATTATTATGAACTCGACAGGGCAAAGTTGATTTTTGAACCTGATTAATTCTGGAACAACCAGTTGGCTACAGTTTATAACAGGGAATTTTGAGGAGACTTCTCAACAGTTGAGTTTTCGCATTCCTCTTGGTTAAAATAATAGTAAAGGTTTGTCTTAGCAAACTACCCCATTCCACAAATAGGGATATTCGATGGTACCACTATAACAAAGAATGTGGTGGATGGATCGAGTCACCAATTTATACTGGCCTGTGATCTGTATCTGAAAGCACTGCCCTAAAATGCTTGTTTATAGAAAAATACATTTTATAACAATTGAATAAATATTTTAAAGCTATCTCTTTATTAATGTATGACCTGTACTTCTGATAAAATCCTTCAATATCTATCACGGCTGCAGTCGAATAAACGAAATTGGCAGGTATTTTGGTTTACAATCTTTCAGGACCCGAAAGAACCTGAAATATAACCAGAGGTGATCAGAAACCGTAGTTTTTAATCACTCGTCTCACGAAAGTTTCAATAACATCGAAGGGATTAGAGCATTTAATCCTGATGGCCAACGTTTACTTGAAAGCAGGAGAATAATTAAAGGAAGCAGTTAGTGAGAAAAGGTGCCTCTAAGCAGTCTGTATCAGAAACAGGAAATTTGATGAAGGTTAAAAGCATGTTTGGTTACAGATGCTACTTGATTGATGATGATACCGAAAATAATGCAAACAATGAAGAAGAGACTAAGGTTGTAGCAAAGTTGTTCAGATCCAATGGAACATGTTATTTGTATTTAAAAGAAGAAATTATATACTGAATAGAATACAATTGGAATACTTTAATATTCATAGATTAATTAGAATTATGTTTAATTGGAGTTGATTTAGTGAACAACTAATGGTCCCCCTGAGGTCAGGGATCTATAGATACAATCAAAAACAAACATTTTGATGTGAGGGGGGAAGATGGGAGTATCTGAGAAAACCCACTTTCACTGGTCAGATGCCGAATAATCTAACTGACCAATGCCAGAAACATGCTGCTGAAAAGGAAATCAGTTCTGGTTAATGGACATTTTAAATAGGTGTATCCTGAGATAGAGTATACACAAAATTGAATGAGGTCGCATTATTGCTTAGGTTTGTAATCATTTTAATATTTCAGCCAAGTAGCTGGGGTGGCAGTGAGATGAAAGAATTGAATACATGTAATCAGGCAGGGTGCAATTAGGGAGTCTATGGACTATCTTAATTATTGTGTTCTGAAGATTTTGCATTTTCTTTTATTGCTAATCTGTCATGTTAATGTTACAGCACTGCCATATTCAAATAAAGGTCTGATAAATGTTTTCTAGATCGTGATAATAGTTTTTGGGGTGCATCCCTTGTTAATACTATCTATACTCCATAGGTAGTAAATTATGTTACATGTATTGCTAATGATATAATTAAAATGTTTATTCCAAGATAGATTTGAGCTAAATATTAAGCCTAGGAATTTCACAGAGCTAGAGAAAGTGATTGATGTATTGTTTAGTGTTAGCCCTAAGTTTTTAATTATTTTTATATATTTTTCTGGGGAAAGCAATAGATTAGGTCTTTGAAGAGTGAAGGGCTACAAATCACTTATTACACCAGTGTGATACAGTATCATGTAACGTTTGTAGCTGTATGTGGGTTGCTTGAAGAGCTCCAAGTCGTAATATCATCTGCATATTGGGATGTTAGTGTGTAAGCTATAGGGGAAAGATATGTCATTAACGTAATCATGACGGTCACTAAGTATTTATACGATGAAAGATCAGTCTTAATTTACTTTGGTATGTATACAATAACCTTATCTACAGCAAATAGCTTTGGCCACAAATGTAATTGGTCAGGAATTTGCAGTTTCAAATCGATGATTAGGTATCAGAACGGTTGCTGAGCTGTATCTTGATAGACTTTTGTCTCGTTAAAACATTCAGCTGAGACTAATCTCTTACATTCTTGAACAAAATAATCTGTTTAGAGCATACTGTTACGTCTCTGTTCGTTTGTTAGTTTCCCGTAAAAATTCTTTCTGAAGAACTTCAGCGATACAAGTCCTTTCTTAAATAAAACTAGTTTATTATTTCTCAATACAACTTTGCCATACACTTAATTTCCACAGTTACTTTAACTTAAACACACGCTATAATTCATAACTATTCACGTACTTTAGTTACAGTCACTACCGCTCATTTGACTCAATTATCTGTCTCTATATATCTCTTTTCAATCTGCTATATATCTCCGCTTTATTTGCCGGGCCTATATACAAAAATAGAGGGCGTCTAGCAAACACTAGAGTTGCCAGGAACAGTTATGATCCTTCTACAAACTCATGACATGTCACCAGGGTCACGTGACTTCCGCTGTCGTAACAATACTATTATTACACATTTGTCTACCCTGATAAATAGATTCTTTATAATATAAAACACTGATAAATTCAAATGATGACTTTCACTCATAATTACATCAATTATAAAAAGATTTGTCATTTTGGTTTCTAAATAATCACGATTTTTTTTAAAAAAAAGCCTTCGATGAACTGAATGCTAGGAATAGTGTGCTTTAAGCTAGTATACAACAGCTGAAATTTACTGTAGAACTATACAATGTTTTCTGGAGTAGGGTAAGTAATACCATGATAATTTGGTAACATATTGTTGACAAATTGAGTTTTACCCCTTCCATTTGGACATGACACTAAACAACTAAAGGGATTTGTAAATGGTAATGCATCCTAAACTTCAATCATATTATACACAATATCAGTTATTTTGTATACACAGGACTACTTCTCAAGTAAAATAAATAACTTAATAACCATATGGCAATGTGATAAAATCTGATAAAATTTCTTTTGGTCTTAAATGGGTGGTGTTTTTTACCTTTTGGTTTTAAAAGGGTAGTGTTTTTACCTTATGAGTTGTTACTTATAGTCAGTGTTTTATATCCCAACATATTTTCCTGTCGTTCGTTATTCGAATAGCATCCTGAGGAGGATTAAAATATCCAAGATTATGCTCTTCATGGAAGAGAAGTTTAACTTCTGACTGTTTATAAAATTAAGGGTAAATCATATGATCTTACAACAGGACATACGTATCTATAATTCTTAAATCCACTACTGACCCATGATTCGATGTAATGTTCATTAAGCTCATCTATAAATTTCCCAAGATAATCATTTAGAGAGGTATCATTAGTTTCATCTGAAATGTAAGCCATAGTATCAGTGTCATAGTACATGACAGACGATCCTAACATCTTTAGTGTACAGCACAATTTTAGATGTGTGTGAGAAATGGTGAAAACCACCAGAAAGATGTTTTATTGATCATTCTGCGGCAAATACTTGCATTTGTTGTTTGGTTTGTTTTTAATTTGATCCACATCTACACGAGGGATGTCTGTGCTAGCCGTACCTAATTTAGAAAGACTAGATGGAAGGCAGCTAGTCATCACTGCCCACTGCCAACTCTCGAGTTACTCTTTTACCAACGAATAGTGGGATTCTAACGCTCCCGCGGCTGAAAGAGCGAGCATGGGATAGGGATTCCAACCCGCAACCCTCAAATTGCAAGAAAGTGTAATTAGTGTAATGAGTGGTAACTAGTAACCTAATAACCTTCTGTGCCTTACAAATATATTGTATCATACTTGTTACTTAATGCTTTTGTTGTTCTGTTTGTTGTTTCTCAAAGTGTATTACAGGTTATATTATTGTGTTACTTTACGTTTATTAATAAATAATGTATAAATGAACGTACACTACAGGTAGTTATGAATAAAATATGTTTTTATTTCAAGAAATTATTAACGTGTTGCCCACCTTTCCCTTAATGACTACTTCAGTAGGTCGTGCTAATGTTTGGTAGAAAGCTGGTGGTATCGTGCTCAACTCCTTCTTTAAAGCATTAGTAAGCTTCACTACCGAAGAGGACCGTCCTGGCCTTACCCTAATTCTGCTTTCCTGTTCATCCCAAATATGTTCTAATGGGTTGAGGTCTGAGCTCTTTGCTGGTCACTGCAATGTTCCGATATTATTCTCTTCAAACCACGTGCTCACAATTAGAAGGTGTAACGGCCAATACCATAAAATTGCGACAATGTAGGACACATAGAATTGTCCAGAACATCAGTGTAGGACTCAGCGTTCATCCATGTGCTGCGAACATTGGAACTAATCCATACACAAGAAGCACCCCAGACCATGTTACCGCCACCTCCAAACTTCACTGTTGGGAAAACACACTCAGATAATAAGCGTTTTACAGACATTCTCCATACCTAAACATGTCCATCAGAGTTGAAGAGCGTGTTGCGTGACTCGTTGCTCCACAGGACCGATTTTTATTGATCCACGGTCCTGGTTTGGTGTGCCTTTCTCCATGGCAATTGACGGTGTGCATTTGTTTTTATCATTAACAGCTTAGGGGCTGCAGCTCTTCCTTGAAAATTCATGTCATGCAGGTCTCGACGTGTCATAGAAACACTTATAGGATTGCCTTTGGCTTCTCGCATCTCCAAACACAGATTCTCTAGTGTCTGATGGCGGGATGGGGTAACCAGTCTTCTCAAGGTTCGTCGGATCTTATCATCAGTATTTTATGCCTACCTGGTCGTTTTTTGGGCACATTGCTACCTGTGGACTTCCATGTCTTCAGTACGTTGCCAACTGTCCACCTAATTTAATTTAATTGTTGCACAGTAGCACGTACAGACATTTTCCCAAATAACATCCAACTATCCTTCCCCTCTGAAACTGTTAGATCTTTCCGTGTACTCGTCGTTCGGCGTACATGTTCGAAATTACTTCTGAGCGAACCGCTGATCACCTTTATAGACCAAACTATCTGCTTATTTCGTCATCACATTCAATCAAAGGTGTGTCCCATGACTTTTGGTAGGATAGTGTAGATTGTAAGTCAGTAAGATCTGTATCATTTTAAGATACCAATTTTGCTTAGTTTTTTGCACAGTTGCTTCAATGTTTTCCAACAAAATATTTTATTTTTCTTATGAAACAATAAAATTATGTTTTGCTTTAGGCTAAGACATGAGGTTCCAAGAATTTGGGAAATTCCTCTGTTTACAAAGATGAAGGTAAGTAAAACTTATTTTCAAACTGGTGTTATTCCTTTACTCTAGTTATTAATTTAAAAGCATTAAGAAAAAACGTAAAATTTAAGTATTTGTTTTCTAAACATTGCAATAAACAATTGGAGGACGTTAAATTAATTACTTGAAATAGAGTCTTCCTTAAATCGTTTGCTCATTTTAAAGCCTCCATTTTCTCTCTTTAATTCTCTCTCTCTCATCGAATTACTTCTTTGTTAAGACAGTGTAGGAAACAATTATGAATCTGCCAACGTGTTTTCCTTACATCATGATAATAAATAACAGTATAACATCCAAACGTATTTCATTGCTCAAATTGGTTTGTTAGTAACTTCTTGGATTAGTAAATAAAGAATCGTTTCTAATTAAATCAAAAATATGGATATATAACAGCTAACTATCCGGCATACCTTCTTAAATATATTTAACCAACCACACCATACAATTTTGAATGTAGTCGCTTCATAGATTTAGGAGCGTTTTTCGGATTTTACTTAGAGAGGTAGGTTGGATCAACTCATTATATTTAATGTTTATTTCGTATTTGAGAAACTAATGAATTGGTTCTTTTTTAATTTTTTCATAGGAACTCGCAATGGAGCTTTCTTGTTACAAAATAAATACAGATGACAGACATTCAGGCAACTGTTATGAGGAAAAAGGGTACATTTGTTTTTATGTTTTTAATAAATGTTTCTATTTAACTAAAAGAGCGTAAATCTCCATTGAAACTAAATTTTTATAACATCCATTTTATAATATTGTTACGTCTCCGTTCGTTAGTTAATTTTCCGTAAATTCGTTCCAACGAAACTTTATCGACACAAGTCCTTTCTTAAATAAAACTGGTTTATTCTTTACGAATACAACTTTACGATACACTTAATTTCAACAGTCGCTCTATAACAAACGCTATAACTCACGTCTTACGAGCTCGCTCAATTACACACTCTCTGACTGCAGTTCAATTACTCCTTTCTTCGTCACGTTGTGACCATCTTATATATACCAGGCTACCCTCAATCTAGTAGTCTCCCGATAATTCACGAAGGTTCGAGAGAAGGACGTGGCGTGATACTAGTCACGTGACCACGCTGACGCAACACTGCC